GTTGATTTTGGGGGCATTTTGCTGTGTGTCAAGGGAGGAGATACAAAGGCTTTCTGAGTGTTAGCTGGCCTTCAGAGTAGCAAGTTGGCTATCTTGGGTTCGATAGTTTAGACCCAGTCTATCTTTCCAGTCCCATTATACATTACTCCCCCTCCCACAGTCTGAGCCAGCCAAACTGGCTTCACTGTTCTCCAACTACAACCCTTCATCTCCTACCTCTGTATCTTTCCCTTGGTCACCCTATGCCTGGAATGAACTTTTCCTAACCACCACCTCAAAGAATAATTTTCCTTGTGAAAAACTAAAAATAAATTAATTAATTAAAAGAATAATTTTCTTTCTTCAAAACATAGCTCAAGTACCACCTTCTAAATGAAACCCCTCTTAATCCTCTAATCTTTAAGTATTCTCCCCATGAAACTATCCTATTTAAATGCTTTGTTTTTATTTGTATTTATTCTTTATATTTATTCTCTATATACCTATATAGTTATTTGGTATCTTCCCCGTTAGAATAGAAGCTCCTTAAGAGTAGGGAATTGATTGTTTCATTCTTTGTATTTCTATTCTGAAGTCATAGCAAGGTGCAGTAAAGGCTTAGTGATTAATACATTGAATATTTGGTTGATTGGCTTTGTACAACCAAAGGGTAAAGGAAGGCGAAACAGTTCCATGTGACTGTCTTATCCAGAGAAAGAACTGATGAACTCTGAGTGTGAACTGAAGTATAATTTTCTTACTTTCTTTATTTGTTTTGTTTTGTTCTGCAATATGGCTAATACGGAAATGGGTTTTGCATGATTTAACATATAATTGATATGATATTGTTTACATTCACAGTGGGTGGGAGAGGGGTGGGAGGGAGGGACTCTGGAACTTAAAATTTAAAAAGAAAAAAATGTTTAAAATAAATTAAAAAGTATTAAGACTAAATGGAGACATTCTACATTGTGGGGATTAAGGGCACCGTGCCCCTGAGATCTGGAAAATCTGTTAAACTTTTTTTTTGGTCCTTCCTTCGTACCAGAGAAGAAGCCTGTTTTTTTTTCTTTTTCTTTTATGGGGTATTTATAGTACCTTATTGTAAAATTGGGTTCAGTACTTGGTCATAGGCTCTGTGTTATCTGCTGGCCTTCTACAGCTTCTGAAAAACTCCCCCAAAATTCCCATTTAATTTCTTTTGCTGACTCATAATATATCAAAACTGTGATGGGGAAAGTCGTGCTGTGGAAGGGATAGCTGTACTTGTGTCAAGAATGGAAAAATACAGTGACCCTCTTTCGTTACTACCCCATCCTAAAGGGAGGAACCTGTCATGGTAGAATTTCAGGTGTCATAACAAATGACTAAGCTGAAGTGGGGAAACCTTTATGGAGCCTTTCAAATCATATCACATAAGCATGATTTAATCTATAATTCTGAATAAGGTCAGACTATTCCTTTGCTTTGCGGTGCCTTCTCCTGAATACAGCTCTTTCTAATGGTTCAGGGCTTCACAAAGTCACTTTAGGACAACAGTGTAGTACTAATTCAGGGGGAAGACCTCTCCCTACTAAACTACGATGGTACCATTTCCCCCAGCATTGGAGGGCTGCCTCATTCAAGCCCTGCACACCCCCCCACTAACAGTCTGTGAAATCTGGCAAGAGACTGGCCGTAGGAGGCACAGCTATACATCATTGGTTTGTGCCATTTTTCTGGGCTATATGAATTTCCTGCCAGTACAAATAACCAGGCCTTTGGAAACTCCTTCGCAGCCCAGAGACCATTCATCCTAATTGATTACCATCCAGATTCTCCCACTCTCTTTCTCCCTTTGGGCTTTTCTGCCCCAATTTCTCCCCCTTCTTTTTCCCTCCTTTGGTTTTGCATTGAAGAATTTTTTCCATTCTCTACTCCCTCAAATGTCTTCTAGTACTAGCAAAAGGAACATGTCAGCAGCTGCAGCTACAGCAATGCCAGAATGCCTGTTCACTACTGGAGTTCATAAAAAGAGGAACAATGTAGCTTAGAGAGGAGTATGGGAACAGAAACTCTGAGAGTGTAATTGTCTTGTCAGTGGTCATTTATCTCAGAAATATGAGATCCAGGATTCGAACTCTCCCAATTCCAGGCCTTAAGCTCTTCTACCTTATCACACTATCTCTCTATCTCTCTTGCAATGGAAGAAAGGGGAGGTGAAGGAAAGGAAGTAAGGGAAGAGAAAGAAGATAATGGGAGGGGTGATTACTGAGCCAAGGAGACAAACAAGGCAAGGAGAAGAAGAGAAAAAGAATGAAGAAATGAGAACAGAGAAAAAGAATGAAGCAATGAAGAAGGGAAGGAAGATAATGAAAGGGGTGATAAGGGGAGAGGGAGGGAGAGGGATCAGGTTAAGGAAAAAGAGGGGGAAGAGAGGGGAAGAAAAGTGAGGAGGGACGCAAGAAGAGGGGAAGATAGGAAAGAAGGGGGAATTGGAGAGAAAGAAGGGGGATGGGAGGAGAAACAAAGGGAAGCGAGCAGAAGAGAAGCACGGAGAACAGGAGAAAGAAGAGAAGAAAGGGGAGAAGAAGAGCAGGGTTAAAAAGAGAAGAAGGGAAGAGAGAAACATCCAGGAATTCTAAAACTTCTCCATGATAAACTACACCTTCCTATTCTGTCTTCCCTACTCTTCCTCCCTGTCCAAAGCCCGCATTAGGCAGTGACTAGTTAGAGAGGGAAGGCAAGGCAAGGGAGCAAAGGACAGAAATTGGTCAGCTTTCTGAGTTCTTCAAAAGGCTGGGAATTCTGCCAAGTTGGAAATCTCCATTCAGATTTTCCCCACAGTAACTCACATTCATCTGTGTGAAAAATAAAGGCTCACAGGTTTAATGTAAAGTTCCATTTTCTCAGAATGCAAACAACTAGAAAGGTCAAATAATTGAGATTTTGTTTGTGGTCCTAAATAATGGTAATTAAGGCCCATAATGATGTGACTAAGACACAGTAATAGCTTTATGTCCACAATCGATCCTCAAGGGAGCCAATGTGGCATTATGGAAAATGTGTCCTGATCATGGCTCTAGAATTTACTAACCGTGGAGACCCAGCTTTTCTGCAAAAGTCCAGAAGTAAGAAGTTCTTGACTTTAATTTGTGATGGTAGGAAATACCTCTCTTTTGATTGAACTCCTGAACCTTGAACACTTTATGGCTGGAGGGGGTCAGGAAGGTGAGAAAGAAAAGTTAGTTACAATCTTCAGTTTCAAATGGTTCCTTTAAGTAATAATCGTCTGCACTTATGAAGTGCATTAAGGTTTGCAAAGTACATTTCTCAGCACCAGCACTGCAAGGCAGATGATGCAAGAATAGTTATGCTTGGGGCAGCTAAGTAACGCAGTGGGTGGAGCACCAGCCCTGAAGTCAGGATGACCTGAGTGCAAATCTGGCCTCAGACCAAACACTTGACAGTTACTAGCTGGGTGACCTTGGGCAAGTCACCTGATCCCAATTGCCTAAAAAAAGAAAAGAATAATTATCCTCATCTATAGCTGAGTCAGTCAATAAACGAGTTCTCTGTGCCTAGTATTGTGTTAAGCATTGCAGACTGCTATGCACTACAGCTCGGTGGCAGAGCGCTGGACTTGGAATCTGGAAGATTCATCTTCCTGGGTTAAAATCTGGCCTCAGATACTTACTAGCTGTGTGATCCTGGGCAAGTCACTTCACCCTGTTTGCCTTAGTTTCCTCATCTATAAAATGAGCTGGAGAAGGAAATGGCAAACTACTCCAGTATCTTTGCCGAGAAAACCCCCACATGGAATCATGGAGGGTTGGACATGACTGATCAAACTTTTTAAAAGGAACCTGATCTGATTTCCTTTTTTAATAAAAACAGGACCAGAACTTACCAACAGGATTTCAGATAGGGATTTCTACTTAGTAGTTCAATCATTATTTATGACTATTTGAATATTGAATTGCTTTGGAGTACATAGGGTCAATATTAGAATTCATTTAAGAAGATTTTTCAGATGTCTTTAATGCTATGACTCTAAGCAACTGAGAGGCTACACATTTCAAAACAATATGAAATCTACAAATTTGAAAGAAAAAACAAAAAAAAGTGAAATCAACTGAACAAGAAGTGATGAGGGCACAGAAACTCAGAGAGTATAATTGTCTTGTCAGTGGTCATTTATCTCAGAAATATGAGATTCAGGATTCGAACTCTCCCAATTCCAGGCCTTAAGCTCTTCTACCTTATCACACTATCTCTCTAGCTAATTCTTTCTCTCCCTACCATGTCTTTTTTTTTTTAAACCAAACCTGTGATTTCACTGGAATGGGCAAATCCTGCTGAAGAAACACCCTCTTCCAATGTAGATACAGCACCTTCTTCACATTTTATAGTCTTAAAGAATTGCCTGGGTCTTTGACATGTTAGGTGACTTACTTGTCCAGGGTCACATAGCCAGTAAGTGGAAGAGGTAAGACTTTAACCTGGATTTTTCTGACTCTGAGGTCAGTACTCTATCCCAAGCTGCCTCTCTCTTAGAATATCTATAATAATCTCTGCTGAATAAAATTCTACTGACATAGAACTTTTCTGGAACACATCTAATGCACAAAGTAAAATACTCTCATACACCAATATGCTCACTGGAATATTATTTGGAATAAGAACCTTTGCCCTATAGCCCTTCAATAACAGGAGTGGGTCATTGAGGCTGGAAAGTTCTTTCTGTCATTCAAAATTGAGCTAAACTTTCTCCAGACACTTAGGCCATAAGAAATCATGACATGTAAAGAAGGCTTTTACAGCTAGGAAGCAGAAGGAATCACAGAACACAGATGAGAGGTACATCAGGACAACACAATGACTCTGAGGCACAGTTGGGATTAGAACTCAGAACTCCTGACCTTCCTACTTTTTCCATTTTGGACTGGTCAAAAGTACTGCCATTTATAGACCTATAGGCTAGGAGCCAGTCTTTCCTCCATGTTATTTTTCCTGCTGACTGTGTTGGTGTATTCCATCAGGTCTCCTGGCAATAGTGGCTTCATCCTTAATTGGTGAATTGGAGCAGTTCATCTCTGAAGGCCCCGAGACTCTGGGATTCCAACACCTGGCCTCTCCCAACAGACACCATATGCAGCTTTGAGAATCATCTGCTGAGCCCGGAAGGACAAAGGCAAGTAACTTAAGAGTAAAAGGATCAACAAAGTAATCACTATAGTAATCATTTTTCAGCGCAAATTAATTCATCAAACATTTAATAATAATAATAAAAATAATGATAGTAATAATAGCAGCTGGCATTTACATAGCACTTTAGGGTTTGCAAAGTTAGGGTTTGCAAACATGGTAGGTGCTATTATTATTCCTGTTTTACAGATGAGGAAACTGAGGCAAATAGAGGTTTAGTGACTTCCTGAGGGTCACCCAGATAATAAGTGTCTGAGGTGGGATTTGGGGTCTTTCTGACTCCAGGTCCAGAGCTCTATCCATTTATTAAATGCTTACCATGTGCAAGGCACAAAGGACCAAAAGGTGAAAAATAACATTGTCTCTGCTATCAAGGATGGATATTACATGTATGCAAATAACTTTTTACAGAGTAGACTATGATAGAGGCAAAAGAGAACTTTGAGGAGAGAGAGAGATCACCTTCAGCTTTAGGAATCAGGGAAGGCTTCATGTAGGAGGTAGTACCTAAGTTGGGCTTTGAAAGAAGAGAAAGATTTCTCCAGGCAGAGTGTGCTTCAGGTCTACACAAATGCATAAAAGGCAAGAAGGGGCAGGATGTTACTGGGAGGCAGATACTTTAAGGTTTGGTTGAAATAATTTGGTTGGTAAAAGGAAATTATGTGGGAAAAGGTTGGAAAGGTAGATCAGAGCAAGATTACAAAAAAATTTAAAGGCTGGGCTAAGGAGTTTATATTTTATTCAATAGATATTAGAGAATTACAGGAAGTTTTTGAGCAGAGGAATGATTTGGTCATATCTGAGCATTAGAAAGGTGATTTTGGCAGCTGTGTTAGAGCATATTAGAGCAAGGAGAGACTAGAGGCAGGAAGACCAGAGAGGAGGTTATTAAAATAATTTAGTGAATGATGATAAAGACTTGAGTGAGGGTGGTGGCTATGTGAATAGAGATAGGAGATACATGCAAGGGATATTGTAGAAATGGAATCGACAACTGATTGAATGCTGAGGGCATGAAAAAGAGTCAAACATGACTCCCATGACTGGAAGTATGGTAGGTCCATCAGTAGAAGCAGGGAGACTCGGAGGAAGGGCAGGCTTAGGGGAAAAGAGGATAGTTCAATTTTGGACCTGCCGAGATTGAGGAGGTAATGGGAAATTGAAGATGCGATCAGTAGCTGTGGTAGAGATATAGGACTGGAGCTTAGGGAGTTGTATTGAAGTTGGATGTATAGAGATACAACTCATGGAGTTGGATTTAGACACCCAGATTTAGGCATGAACTAAAAGGAAGAGGTCCCTGAAGCCATGAGACTGGATGATAATTATCGAGGGTGTAGAGTAGAAAGAGAAGAGTCCCAAGGACAGGGCCTTAGGGACACCTGCACTTAGGAATGAGGAAGAGGAAGAACCAGTGAAAAAGACTGAGAAAAAGTAGTCAGAGAGGTGGAGAAGTTCAAATGCATGGTTTCATAATTAGGGAGAAGGAAAAAAAGGATCTTCCAGAAGGAGGAGGTCCACAATGTCAAAAACTTCAGAAAGGTTGATGAGGATGAGGGCTAAGAGGATGAGGGCATAGGGATCACTAATAACCTTGAAAAGTACAATTTCAGTAAGTTAATGGGGTCAGAAGATAGATGTCAGTGGGTGGAGGGTAGTAGGTAGTTTATACTCCTTTTTCTGGATCTTAAGTGTGAAAAGGAGGAGAGATCTAGAATGATAGTTGAGAAATGCCAGGGGCAAGTGAAGGTTTTTTTTTGTTTCAGGATAAAGGACACCTGAGTTATATAGAAAGCCAGACTTATAAAGAGGCAGAGTAGGCAGTCAACTACAAAACATAATTCGGGGTGCATAGCCACAGCCTTCCTATCTCCAAGTATTCTCCCCCCTTTAGATGCCACAGTGCTTAAAATTCCATAATTGAGGATTCATGCTTTTGGGATACAGATTGTCCTTTCTATATCCTATTTTTTAAAGGACATATCCATTAAGCCACATTTTAGTGTGAATCAGCTAAGCTCCAGAGTGAAGCAGCATGAGGGCAATGGGGACTTTGAAGGATGGGAGACAAGGTTAGAAGAAGAAGAAGAAGAAGAAGAAGAAGAAGAAGAAAAGAAGAAGAAGAAGAAGAAGAAGAAGAAGAAGAAGAAGATGATGATGATGATGATGATGATGATGATGATGAAAAGTCCCAGAACACAAACCACTTCACAATTCCACCCATTTCACAATTTTGCCAAGTTTGGGCCACTAGCATTGTGTGCCAGCCTGCAGTGCCCTAAGTCCAAAATGGGTAAAACCTAGTTAATATTCTATAAATACTGGATTAGGAAAAAAAATCCCACTCCTCTTGTTTCTCACCAATTTAAATCAATAGGATCCCTAATGTTCCTGCTCATAGTTCTTGGCACACTCTCTTCATCCATTGGGGCATAAAAGGTTTCATGCCCATAGACTGGGGCACTGTGCCAACCACAGTGGATTTCTGGTAGGGAAAGTGAAGGTGACCCATACCCATAACTTCAGGTGACAGCCTATAATTAATTCAAAACAGAGTCATACTCCAGCATGGGGCAAGTTATAAAATCTCTGAAGGTCAACAAAAATCCTGGACACTTTCCCACTGCTGGTTGAAGTCATTCCTTAATTTTTTCATTGTGATAAAATGTGATTTAACCCCTTTAATTAAACTGCATTGTGACACTAACTCCTCAGTATGTCACTCAGCAATAACAATAATCATAGCTCATATTTTCATAGTGCTTTAAGGATCTCAAGACATTTTATATAAATTATCTCATTTGATCTTTACAAGCCAAAGTGATAGACACTACTATTATTACCCCTATTTTACAGATGAAGAAACTGAGACTCAGAGTGTTTAAGTGACTTGTTTGAATAGCTACTAAGTATCAAAGATGGGATATGAACCCAAGTTTTTCTGACTTCAGGTACAGCACTCTACCCATTAAACCCAGTTGCCTCTGGCCCTGTGTCATCTAACATTCCCTCTCAGCCTCCATCTTTAATTTTATTTTCTTCTGTTACCTATCATGCAGCCTTTGCTCCAGCCAGGCTGGTCTCTTCATTGTCTCACTCCTTTCAGTCCCACACCCAACGTTTTTCTCCTTCTCTATCAATGCCTTGCTCACGGCTGTTCCCTTAGTCTGAAATACTCTCTATGTTCTTTTCTGCTCATCTAAACCTTTCCTATCCTTAAAGACCCAGCTCAAAGACCACATTTTACATGACATTATTTTTGCCTCACATTGATCACTTCTTTCTTTTTCCCCGAGATAGCATTAACAATCTGTAGCCAACCTCAGCCTTTATTTACGCTCATTTTGATTTTGTTCCCTAATTATTTTCTGCAGAAGCAGAGGATAGAACGCTAGACCTGCGGTCAGGAAGACCTGAATTAAAATCTGCCCTCAGACACTGACTAGCTGTGAGACCCTGGGCAAGTTACTCAACCTTTCATAGCCTGTTTTATCATCTGTAAAATGGGGATAGTATTAGCACCTACATCCCAGGGTTACTGTAAGGATAAAATGACATAATATTTGCAAAGTACTTTGCAAACTTTGAAGTGCTTTATACATGCTAATTATGATGATGATGATGATGATGATGATGATGATGATGATGATGATGATGATGCAGATTGGGATTTTCACCATGAGCATTGATTTTTCGTCTCATCTCTTTTGTTATCTTCCATTCCTTCTTTTACTCCATTCTCTGGTGATGAAGTGGATGTCCCCTCAAGGCCAAATGCTCTATTTGGATTATTAATCTCTCTCCTTCCATTTTCTCCTGTAGATTGTTCCCATAACCACCCCCTTATTTTCTAATTTTCAGTCCCTTCCTATCTATTGTTTTCCCCCCTGCTGTGTACAAACATATCTAAGTTTCCCTTAACCTTACCAAAACTTCATTAGGCCTTCTAGATATTATCCAATATTTCTCCTCCCTTCCTCAGCCAAACTCCTAGTAGTAGCCAGGTACACTTTCTCTCTGCTCTCTCATTTCTCAACATTTTGCAATCTGGTTTCCACCCTCACCATTCAACTGAAATTCCTTCCCCCAAGTTACCAGTGATATCTTAATTGCTAAATCTCATAGCTTGGTCTTAATTCTCATCCTCATCTTCATCATTTGATGCTGCTGCTTTGACACTGTTGATCAACCTCTCCTCCTCTGAGTCCTGGAGACTCTTTTCTGGGTTTTCATGACACAATCTTTCTTTGTTCTCTTTCTACCTGTCCCCTCTCTTTCTTTTGAAAGCTTTTTAAAATTCTGGATTTTGACAAGCTTTTAAAAAAAGGGCATTTCCATGTACAAAGGAAACAAAAAGAATTTCAAGCATGAAGCCACAAATCTCTGTTTCATACAGCTTGCTTTTTTTTTGGTTGGTATATAATAAACTCAACATGTAACTTCCAAAGATATTTATCTGTATTCCATTCTAGGCTTCCTTTTGTTTTGCATTTTAAAATGCTTCAATGACCCTCTTTTCCTTCTTTTCTATTTTTTTTGGGGGGGGCAAGCATTCATATTAGTAGACTCCTTCCTTCTGTTCCTCCTGTACCTCCCTCTCCCCCAAAACAATGGGGAAAAACCACCTTCGTGAGATATTTACATAGTTATAAAAACAAATATTCACACTCATTATGCCCAAAATATATATGTCATTATATAATTTCAGTCCTTTGTCAAGAGGTGGGCAGCATGCTTCATCATCAGTCCTCTGAAATAATGCTGGGCATTGCATTGATTAGAGTTCCTAAGTCTTTCAAAGTTGTTTTTCTTTATTATGGTTGTTGTTGTTGTTATCATTATAGAATTTACTCTCTGGGCTCTGCTCACTTCACCCTATATCCATTTAAGACAGTCTTCTCAAGTTTCTTTGAAACTGGATTTTCATTATTTCTATTACATTCATGATAATTTGTTCAGATAGTCCCCAATTATTAAGCAACCTTT